AACCACACAGGCAGTGGAGCAACTCACTGGAAGGAGAAATTGGAACTCTTATACATTGCTCATGAGAATGTAAAATGGTGCAACCACTGTGGCAAATGGAGTTTCCTTAATATGTTAAACATGGAATTATCATGTGATCTAGCAACTCTGCTCCTAGGTATATACCTGAAGAATTGAAAACAAGGACTCAGATAGGTGAACACTGATATTCATAGCAATATTATTCACAATTACTGAAAGGTGGAAGAAACCTAAATGTTCATTAATAATGAATGGATAAACAAGATGGATATAGGGCCTCCCTAGTGGCACAGGCGGTTGAGCACAGTGCTATGAAGCTGTCTGCAGCCTCTGCAGTGCCGGTTCGATGCCCGCTGGCCGCGGAGATGCCCACATGGCAAGACGGACCTCTCCTGTCTCCCCCGCTGCTCTCCTCACTAGTGTATTTCGGTCATTCTGCCTGTTCTGTTTCCCACTCTGTCCCTGGTGAATCCTCCCACACCTCTGGCCTGTACCCCGGTTCTTGTATAAATAAATGAATCTAAAAAAAAAAAACCGAGATGGATATACAGATAATGAACTATTATTCAGCCATAAAAGAAATGACATTCTGATACGCACTAAACATGCTAGCTGAAATAAGTCAGACACAAAGGGACGAGTATTGTATGATTCTACTTATCAGAGGTATCCAGAATAGGCAAATTCATAGAAACAGAGAGTAGAATAAAGGTCAGTAGGAGATGGGGAATTGGGAAGTTATTGCTTAAAGGATACAGAGTTTCTGTCTGGGAGGTTGAAATGTTCTGGATATAGATAAGTTGCATAATATTGAGAATGTATTTCATGTCACTGAATTGTATATATATATATATATTTTTTTAAAGATTTATTTATTTATGCAAGCACTGGGTACAGTCAGAAGCGCGGGAGGGTGAGAGAATTCACCAGAGCCAAAGGGGGAACAGAACAGGCAGACCGATGAAATACACTGCTGAGGGGAGCAGCAGGCATGGCAGGAGAGGTCTGTTGGGCCATGTGGGACCCTCGCCTGGGGCCGGGGATCGAACCGGCGATGCAGAGGCTGCAGGCAGCTTGGCAGCCCAGCACTCAACCTCTGTGCCACCGGGGAGGCCCTGAATTGTATATTTAAAACGGGGTTAAAGTTCCCTCATCCCAGGCACCATCACCTCTGGTCCTCTAACTGGTCTCCCTGATTCCATTCTCATCTTTTTATTTTTCATGCATCAGCCAGAGTGGCCTTTTAAAATGTGAATCGGATTCAACACTCCAGCTTAACACCTCTGATGATTTCCCACAACCCTCAGAAAAAATCCAAACTCCTTACTGAGGACCATCAAGCCCAAGAGGATTTGACTTTTGGCTGCCTCCCTAATCCTATCTCCTTTTCACTCCTCCAGGCCAGCCACAGTGGTCTTATTTCACTCACACAGGCCCAGGGCTTCTAGCCTCAGACCCTTTGCACCCGCTGTTCCCTCCATCATCTGAAGTACTTTCTGCAGACTGCTGCGTGGCTAATGCCTTCATTCCGTGACCATTCTACTGAAAATAGGGCCTCTCCCGGGCCTCCCCGGTGGCGCAGGGTTGAGCGCTGGGCTGCGAGGCTGCCCGCAGCCTCTGCAGAGCCGGTTCCATTCCAGGCCGCCTGGAGAGGGTCCCATATGGCCATGGTGCGCAGAACTCTCCTGCCACCCGCTGCTCCCCTCAACAGTGTACCTCGGTCCTTCTGCCTGCTCTGCTCCCCGCTCTGGCTCTGGTGAATTCTCTCACCCTCCCGGGCTTCTGACTGTACCCAGTACCTGTACAAATAAACAAACAAACAAATAAATAAATAAATAAATCTTTAAAAAAAAGAAAATAGAGCCTCTCCCTTACAGCACAATTTATTCATCCATTATTCTTTTTTTTTAAGATTTATTTATTCATACAAGAACTGGGGTACAGTCAGAGGTACAGGAGGGTGAGAGAATTCAACAGAGACAGAGCGGGGAGCAGAACAGGCAGACTGACCGAAGACACTGCTAAGGGGAGCAGCAGGCAGCAGGAGAGGTCTGCGCGCCATGTGGGACCCTCATCCGGTGGCCGGGGATCGAACCCGCTCTGCAGAGGCTGTGGGCAGCTTCGCAGCCCAGCGCTCAGCCACTGTGCCACGAGGCAAGGCCCTGCATCTTTTTTTTTTTTTTTTTCTTAATAATCAGTGGCAGTACATTCACAACTTTGTGCAATCACTATCTCTATTTGGTTCCAAAACACTCCACCACTCCAAAGTAAAATCCCTTATCCTCCAAGCAGTCCCCACCCCATGCCCTACATGTACTGTTTTTGATCCTCACAACCACCCAATTGTACAATTGAAGAAGTAAGACTCTGAGTACAGAGATTGAGAGAAATGTGGTGAGAGTGAGGCTCTGAGAAATTCAAGGTTAAATGGCTAGTAGTGTTATAGGACAGGGAGAGGGACAGCCCAAACCCCGCAAACCTGCCTATTCTAAATGGGTTCTGCCATCTGCCGCATCAACACAAAACATATGAAACTTTAATGGGAAGGAACTTTAATAAAACTAGGAAACAATACAGGTAAAGCAAAGAGTCTAATTTCTAAATGAAGCACCCAAAGTTACCTGTCCCCTCGTGGGTAAAAGTCCATCCATATGGGATTGGCCCAGAGCAAGGCCCCAAAGCCTGCCACAAGTCTAAAGCATCTTCCAGTGGGGACCCTCAGAAAAGGGTCAGAAACAACCAGACAAGCCCGGAAGGAAAAGAGCAAAATCAACACCAAGATAAAAGCTGCCATTGTCACCTCCCCATGGGTCTCACCCACATCTGTGTCACCAGTCCACGACCAAAAGACAAGCGCAGTTTCTTCACGTGTCTCTAGGCTCCATGCGCCTCCTCCAGGTCTCCTGGCTCCATCCTGCTTCCTTCCTCAGTCTCTTCTGCAGCTTCTTCTCTCTCTGCTCAGCTCCACCCTCCCTTGGGTGGGGCAGGGAACCTGGAACTTCCCCCTTTCCTGGGAACCACCCTGTTACAGTAGATGTGGAGCAGAGATTTTTAACTTTAGTTTTCTGACTCCGGAATTTGAACCTTTGATTAAATACATCCTAGAGCAAACCCGCAAGGGCTGGGTTTGCTTTTCAAACAGTAAATTTAGGGGAGGGGGCAGGTATCTAGACACCATAGGTGCACCCTCAGTTGTGAAAAACGCATTTGGAGGCATAACTGCAACTAGTGCCAGACAGGTGGTTGGCAGAGCCAGTATCTAAGCTCAAGAGAACTATAGGGGAGAGATTTGGAAAGGTCAGCAATGCAGGAAGCTTTGCCAAAGCCTCAAGAAGTTCATAATTACTTGAGACAGCCCCTATTTGCACCCTGAAGAGGCAGAAGAGAGGGTGTAACTTGCTTTCCTGAGCTCAGGCCTCGCCAGGAAATGCCAGGTAGTGGTTGGAGAGAGAAGCAGAGGATGCACTGGGTAACACGCAATGGGAAGCAGGTCTTTGGCCAGCTGCATTCCCTGGGGCCTCCAGCGACCAAGGACTCTTGAGGGTGGAGGGCCAGGCCTTAGTATTGTCTTCTCCCTTCTGGAGGGGCTGTCATCACTTCAGCACCCCCCTTTTACAACATCGGGAGCTCTCTCTGGGACTTCCCACTTCCTCTCAGACAGGGACCCTAAAGTCTTCCCCACCTCCTCTTCTCGCGTCTCCCGACAGAGAGCACCCTTTCAAGTGGCCTCTCACGGTTTCCTCTTGGCCCTCTTCTGCCCCGATGACGGAGGGGTTCTCTTACAAAACCCCCACCACAGGCTCGGGTGGCGGCCGAGTTCTAGTTCAACAATGCGTGGCACTGTGCCTAGCCGCGTCCCTCCCTCTCCCAGGGGGCAACTCCATGGAAACCAAAACATCACAACTAGGCGGAGATATCGCGAGACCGCGGCCGGGGAGAGGAGGAGCGAGGGCGGGAACAAAGAGCGAAGGTGGGAGGAGCCTGAGCGCTTCCGAGGTCCCGGGCGGGAGACCTTTCCTCCTAGTGGCGCCCCCGCGTGACTGCGCTTTACATAACCCAGGCCGCGCGCGTCACAAGTGGCGTACTCTAGTCCAGAGCGAATCAGAATCGTCAGAAGCCCTGTGTCCCGCCCCCTCGTGCTTGATGGGCGTCGGAATAATCCAGTGAACGGGCACCTAACGCCTCTGCGCCCGCCCCGGTCCACTCGCACTCGCCCGCCCTCCCGCCTGTCGCAGCCCGCAGCCTGCCGCCTCCGCTGCCGCCTGGTTGTGCCTCAGACTGTCAGATAAAGCGGCGGGCCGGGCCGGTGGGGCGGTCGCACGGCCCTGGCCGGACATGGCGGCGCTCTACGCTTGCACCAAGTGCCACCAGCGCTTCCCCTTCGAGGCGCTGTCTCAGGGGCAGCAGCTGTGCAAGGTGCGCGGGCTGGGGCGGCGGCCGGGAGCTGGGACGCTGGAGGCGCGGCCCGGAGTACCTGGTTCTGCTGGGACGCCCGGTGGGGTCCCCGGGGCAGGGCGTGGCAGGTCCGCCTGGCTGAGGCGCTGTGCTGCCCCACTGGGAGCCGGCGGAGCACGTGAGGGAGTGCGGGGCCGGGTGCAGGCCCCCGGCCGGCGTGTCCGGGTGCTTAGCAACCGTGTGGGATTGTTCTCGGACCCCGTGAGGTCGGGGGAGGGGACGGAGGGCCCCGGCTCGCCCGCGTTAGGACGCGCCGGAGACCCTGCTGGGCTGCCTCCAGCGCCGCCTGTGTCCGCCCGGGTGCGGGCTGAGGTACCCCCTGCCCCGCCTGGAACTGAACTCCAGAGTTGGGCGCTGCCTGGGAGGAGCGTCTCGCAGGCACTTTTCAGTCAGAGTTGGAGGCTTTAAACTCTAGCTCCACGATCAAGCGCAGGAAGCCAAAGGATGGTTTTTCAGCATCCAGTTGGCGACCTTTGGTCCTCGCCCTAAATAGCTGCTGATCGTTTTTACCCCTGAAGGTTCAAGTTCTCTCTTTCCTGTTAAATGCTTCGTCCTGTTTTGTCTTATTTAAATGAATAGTGGTGCTGTGAGGCGACAGTTAAGTCAGGCCAGCTGGAGAGTGACGTTGAGATATCCCCAGATAATCCAGAGCTTGTTCTTTGATACGGATAACTCATAATTGTATATATCACCATTTCCTCAAATGGCATGCCTTTGTCACTCTTTGTTTACCAGGTATGAGAGAACACAAACGTTTGAGTTCTCTTTTTGGCCTAAAACTAGACATATGTGTGGATAATTTATTAATATGTATGTTAAACCAAATAGATGTAAATTATTAAGATAAACATATTTAAAGGAAGTTTTATCTATGGAAGCAATTCCTTTAATCCAGGACTTTCATTCCACAAATGAGCCAGCTCAAATATCACACAGTGACAGTGGCAACACCTGGATTAGAATCCAGGGCTTCTAATTTCCAGTCTGAGGCTTATTCATAAAAACTTTGTTTTACAATTTATAACTAGTTCCATATAAATTCTTACTTATTTCCCATATCACTATAGGGCAGCGATGCCACTATGACAGGGAAGAAGTTGGGTCCAGAAACTAAGTAACTTACTCGTAGTACTCAGGTCTTTAGTCCCCTGCTGGGGGCTGTTTCCATTTCTGACTGCCTTTCGGAATTACATTCTTTTTCATTTCAGGAATGTCGGATTGCTCACCCGGTGGTGAAGTGCACCTACTGTAGGACTGAGTACCAGCAGGAGAGGTACCATTTTCCTTGACGGTGAAAGATGTTGATGGGCATTTTCCTCTTAAAATTTGTGATTGATTTCAATGTACAGATCTGTAATCAGTTACATGTAAAATACAGATCTGTAGTCAATTGCATTTCACACAGATTTCAGCAGTTTCCTATTTTAACATACTGATGGGTATAACTTGCATATTGTTCCCTATTTATCCATTGATTAAATTTTTTAGTTACTTGTTTTTCATCTTATTAATTTTATATTGTGTTTTGAACTTTTTGACACTAAGAAATCAATCCCACAACAATTAAACATGAACTTCATGTTCTCAGCATGTCTCCTGAGAATTCAGTGATCATAACAATACAAAATGCCTGAACTGATAAATTGCCTTGGGGAACAAATCATCTTCAAATTAAAATAGTAATGTTCACTATTTTGGTAAGCGTTTAGGCTTACACAAATGTATAGTATTTGTAAAACTCCTTGAATGATGTATTTAAGATTTTAGTATTTCACTGTGTGCAAATTTTATCTCTTAAAACATAAAGAACTGTAAAATATTAAACTCTAGTTAATGATATGCATGTTGAAATGTATAGGATCAAACATATTGATAGTCACAATTTTAAAATACATCAAAACAAGGTGGATTAAATACACTGATGAATATAGAACTTGAAAAATTTTAAGTGAAGACACTTTTGGAAATGTGACAATCCTGATAAAGGGTTTGTTAGCCCTAGTCATATTTGAAACTCCTTTGTCTTTACACTTGCTTGTGTGAATCTCATTTTTAAGAGTGTGGAAAAAACACTTTGGTTTGTGTGAATACACATCTTTTCAGAGGGATTTTTCAGCAAAGTGGTTTATTGGTTTAATAAGTTCAACTTTTGTGGAATTGCAACTGTAGGTGATTCTGCCTTAAGCAATGTAATGATCTTACAAGTAGGCCTAAAAGCCCAATTTTTTTTTAAGTTTATTTATTTTTATACAAGAACTGGGTTATAGACCAGAGTTGCGGCACAGTGAGAGGATTCACCAGAGATAGAGTGGGGAGCAGAATAGGCAGATGGACTGAAAACACTGCTGAGGGGAGCAGTGGGTGAGACAGGAGAGGTCTGCCACGCCATGTGGGTATCTCTCTGGCGGATCGGTAATCGAATCCGTGCTGCAGAGGCTGCAAACAGTAAAAGCCCCATTTTAAATCAGCTGTAATTTTAACCATAATTAATATATAGTTTTTAAAAAATTGAAAGAGATAGTAAATATCCACTACTATGATTCTATAATTTAGGATATTTGCATCTATCCATATTTCTATATTTATCAGTGTATTTAATCTACCTTGTTTTGATGTATTTTAAAATCATGGCTATCAATATGTTTGATCCTATACATTTCAACATGCATATCATTAACTAGAGTTTAATATTTTACAGTTCTTTATGTTTTAAGAGATAAAATTTGTACATAGTGAAATACTAAAATCTTAAATACATCATTCAAGGAGTTTTACAAATATTATACATTTGTGTAAGCCTAAACGCTTACCAAAATAGTGAACATTACTATTTTAATTTGAAGATGATTTGTTCCCCAAGGCAATTTATCAGTTCAGGCATTTTGTATTGTTATGACCACTGAATTCTCAGGAGACAAAAGACTTTTTTATTGTCAGTACTTATTTTCAAGGAAATATTGACAAAATATTTGGTCATAACATCTATTACTGCTGAGATTTTCATGTGCTTTTGCTTACAGAGGAGAGTGTAGACAGGAGTAAGTCCAACACGAATAGAATCTCTGAGTTTACATTCCAAATACATTTACTTTTTTCCTTCCTCACCTCAAATTTCTTAACAATTCAGCTGGATTGAGGAGAATTAATTTCTTTTCTGCTAGTCCATTTTGGTGTAACATAATATTCTTCTGGAGATTCTCTCTGTATCTAGTAATTTTACTTGTGATACTTGGAAAAGTCATAATCAGAAAAACCTCACTTTTCATTTTAACCAAAACCTGGTTTTAAATCTGAGTTAATAAAAAATTAATATCCGCAAAAAAATTTAAAAAATGGTGGCCACATATTGACCTTCAGTTAACCAACTGTCCAGACTATATTTCCCTTAGGCACTTAACAATATGTATATTCTTTGGGCTTATGTAGGAGTCAGATATTCTAAATAACATGACTTTTTTCTTATAAAATCCTTTTGTCTCTCTTCCTTAACAGTAAAACCAATACAATATGCAAGAAATGTGCTCAAAATGTGCAGTTGTATGGAACAGTAAGTAGAAATTCTCTGTATCTAACAGTGAGTAGTCAGGTCTCTTAGAACCTTACAGTCTATAGACCACTAATATAACTACAGTATTTTTATTAGAAGAACTTGTTATATGCAAAAACTTTCTCAGAAAAATTGAGTGTTTTAGCTTTTTCAGACTTAGCAATACTTAGTGCTAAGGAGTTCTGTGTGTGCAGTCACTATGGCAGAATTATGATTATAATTTAATTTTCCTTGAAAGGCTTCAGTAACCAGTATGTAAAGAGGAGGGGGAAAATGAATCCTATGACTTGTCTTCTTTGTTTGATAACAGTTGACTATTCATTTTGATGCTTTTTTTTTTTTCTCTCTCAGTGTTAGGGTTCAGAATACTATGTCCTTGCAGCCATTCTCCCAACATGTTTATACACTAATAATGGCAGAGAGGCCTTTTCACAAATTTGCAAACACATGCTGGTTTCTCCTAAGTTCAGTTGATTTTCTCATAGAAATATATGCTAGTATGTTTTTGTGGTTTATTTTAAAAGCAGTAGGATAAACAGTGACGTAAGAAAATAAATAAATTTAATAATAAATAAAATTAAAAGCAATAGGCTTGTGCAGAACAACACTTCATAGTATTAGGAATTGGGCTTTATTTCATCAGTATAAAAATTAATTTATGAAGTTGGGGATTCATTTTTATCATGACTAATGAACTATGTAATAGGAATAATTACTTTAAAAATTATCCTGGTATTTTATGATATATTTACTTGACCCTCTTTTTTTTTCTCTTTAAGCCCAAACCTTGTCAGTATTGCAACATAATTGCAGCATTTATTGGCAACAAATGTCAGCGCTGCACAAATTCAGAGAAGAAGTATGGACCACCATATTCTTGTGAACAGTGCAAGCAGCAGTGTGCATTTGACAGGAAAGATGACAGAAAGAAGGTAAATCTCTTTGTTTTTCTTTCTTTCAGAGAAATTAAGGTGGACCCATTGTGTTAAAGATGTATAACAGAAATATTTCTGTTTACCTCCTACTTCTCTTATTGACCTTGAACATGTTCAACCATTATCTTCTTTTATCATATGGAGACCATTATAATCTAATATTTTATGAACTCATATTTCATAAGAATCTGAATTATAGTGATCAATGTCCCCTTTAAGTGAAGTGGTAATTGGCAAATTTCTATAGAACACTGTAAAAGAGAAATTGTGACTTAAACAAGATAAGTAGTCTTATTGTCAGTTTACTATCTAACTCTTTAAATGTTTCTGTTGAGGTTAAGGTCACAAAATGATGGCATAGACTTTATGTGGATTCATGGTACCTTGGTAGAATCAAAATGGTGTAGCTCTGGTTTGTTTAAAACCTTCCAGTGGCTTCCAGTTACTATTGGAATAACTCTTTGCATGGCCTGCAAGACACTTACCAGACTTTCAGTGACATCTTCCATCACATTCCCCACCTCTCACGTTATTCCAGCTGAGCTAACCACCTTTATGTCCTTCAGACATGCCAGTCTTATTCCCACCTATGTACTGACTATCCTTTTACCCAATATACCCTTCTCAACTGGTTCCTCATGTTAGGTCTCAGCATAGATACCATTTCCTCATAGAAACCTTTAATAATTTCTTCAGTCACTCTATCATATTACCCTTTTTATTGTCTTCATACGTGTAACATGAGATATTGTTCATTTGCTTACATATTTGTCCTCCCCCATTATATGGATCTTTATCCATTTTGTTCTCTACTATATTTCCAGTGGCCTGGCACGTGGTAGGTGCTCAGTAAATTTTTAAATGGAAGAATGCAGTATAGGGCCTCCCCTAGTGGCGCAGCGGGTGAACTCTGGGTTGCGAGGCTGCCCGCAGCCTCTGCAGCGCCAGTTCGATCCCCGGCGAGGATCCCACCAAAAAAAAAAAAAAAAAAAAAAAAAGAATGCAATATAGAAACTCTTTTAGTGTCCACAAGTGCTTTGGGGAGATGCTTAGGTTTTTAAGAACTGGCTCTTGCTAACTAAATTCATCAATTTACAGTGGGAAAATATAAATTCCCAAAGACCAGGATACTCCTACCTGCCAACCAAGCCACCTCTTACCCTGAATCAAGATATGGAGAAGCTGAACTCTAGTAATCAAGCGGTAGCCTGTAAAATTTTGCAGTCCCACAGACCTAGGTCCCATCCTACTCCTGGGCTAACGGACTGATCCTGGGCAAGTTATTTATCTTTGTTATGCATTAATTTCATTACCTTTCCAATGGGAATAACAGCAGCTCCTTCACAGTGACATAGGGAGATTTAATTGTGATAAGTATATGAAACACTTCATTTTGAGCCTAGCACACAATATAACTCAGTAGTGATACCTACATTATTATTAATTGGATTTCACTTTAATTTACTTTCTACTTTCTTAGTTACCATCCTATCTTTTAAGGGTTTGGGTATTTTTAGGCATCCATAGTCACATGTTCATAAACTTTAGGAAGGCTGAGCTTAAGGATTGAGGTTGAGTGATCTGGACTCAGAATGCCTGATTTAAAATCTTGGTGTGACTTTAGGCAAGTTAATCTCTCAGTGCCTCTGTTTTCATGCCTGTAAGTGAGGCTGATTAGACCTCATCATCGTTATGAGAGTTTTTATGTGTGAAGTCCTCTGAAAGGAATATGGTCCATGGTAAGGACCTAATCAGTGTTATCTTTGGTTATTTCATTATGATAATTCAATTCTCAGACAGCAACTTTATACTTTTAAAGTTAATTTTTGAATACAAGCTCTGAAATAGTGTCCAGTAGTTTGGTGTTCAGTTTTTATGTTCAATGCTGGTTCTCTCTTGTTAGAGTTGCCTTATTTTCAAATGTTTTTTCAGTAAAAACTTTCTCCTGGGTAAGGTATTCCAGAGTTTTTTTTTTTTAAAGCTCCATGTTTTTTGTTTTTTTAAGATTTATTTATTTATTTTTTATTTATTTATGCAAGCGCTGGGTACAGTCTGAAGCGCGGGAGGGTAAGAGAATTCACCAGAGCCAGAGCAGGTTGCAGAGCAGGCAGAAGGACCGAAGCACACTGCTGAGGGGAGCAGCTGGCGGCAGGAGAGATCTGCGCGCCATGTGGGACCCTCCCCCGGTGGCCGGGGAGCAGCCGGGGATCGAACCGGCGCTGCAGAGGCTGCGGGCAGCTTTGCCACCCAGCGCTCAACCGCTGCGCCACCGGGGAGGCCCTTCCAGAGTATTTTGAAATCAACCTCTTAAGGGCCTCCCCGGTGGCGCAGCGGTTGAGCGCTGGGCTGCGAAGCTGCCTGCAGCCTCTGCAGCGCCGGTTCGATCCCCGGCCACCAGCGAGGGTCCCACATGGCGCGCAGACCTCTCCTGCCGTGCCCACTGCTCCCCTCAGCAGTGTACTTCGGTCCTTCTGCCTGTTCTGCTCCCTGCTCTGGCTCTGGTGAATTCTTTCACCCTCCCGCGCTTCTGACTGTATGTACCCAGTGCTCGTATAAATAAATAAATCTTTTTATTTATATAATAATAAATGCTTATGTATCAAACACTGTCCTCCTATTGGAATACACTGATGGAAATACACTAATGAACGGAACAGAAAAGAACTTGCTCTTGTAGAGCTTATATTTTTGTGTGTAGGTGAGTATAAAGAAGGAAATAAATGAATACAAATTTTATGTGTGAAGAAATGGAGTGCATGGTAGAGAGTGGCTGGAGAGGCTAGTTTAGATTGGACAATCAGGAGGACCCCTGAGGAATAATATTTGAACTGAAAGTTAAAATGATGAGAAGGAAGCAGCAGTAGCAATCTGAAGGGTGAAGATTTCAAGGAGAAACACCAGCTATAAATATTCCCTGGGTCACGAATGAGCTTAGCACAGGGGACGAACCAAAACAGAGCAGAGTCAATAAGTAAAAGAGAAGGGAGTGAGGTTATACAGGTAGGCAGGGACTGCATCTAAGTCAACACAGGCCATTGTAAGAAGTTTTGGATTTTATACTCATCATGATAAGAACCAAGTTTTAAGGACAGGAGATATAATCAAATTTACATTTAAGAACCCCTCTTTGGCAGCAATGTGAAAATGGTTTATAAGATAGAAGTAGTGAGTCATTTGGGTGACTCTTGCAGTGAAAGATGAGGACCAGCAACAATGTTACTTCAATTTAAAAAAATTATGATCACATTTAAAAAGTCAGCTTTAGGTAGATGGAAGCAGTAGAGTAGTTGGAAAGAGGTAGATGGATTCAGACTGATGGATTGAGGGGGCATTATGCAAAGAGGGTTTGGTAACAAGATAAAAAGTACATTAGATAAATGATGGACTGTCCTACCCATGTTCTAGATGGGTCACAAGATCTAATTTCAGGAATAAGACTTAAACACTAGAATTCTATAAGGTATCAGCACACTTCTTCCCCAACTTGAATAATTTTAACCAGCTGTGCTCCCTGCCACCTACAGCAGGCTGCCCCCCAAAGATTTTGCAACCTGAGTGTTACACAGAGATGTCCCAGCTTCAGAGGATTGTGGGTGTCCCATTCTGCTTTCCTAGCCCTGAATCCTGCTCCCTGGTGCAGAGCTGCTTCTGCCCAAAGGGATCAACTCTTTCTAACACAAAGTGATATGGTGGGCCATCACCAGGGACTGGGGCCTAGAAAGCTGCTAGACCATCAGTCTTTCTCTGGGTACATTTTTTTTCTATTTGAAAAAAAAGTTGAGCCTTTTATAAGCCATTTATAAGGTACTAAAACAAGTATAAATTTTATATTTCATCTCTCCTCTCCCTGCTGAATTTTCCTTAATGAGTACCATGGAGATATTTGTGTCTTTAGAAATTCTTGTGGGAACTTTGTTTCAGTCTGTATTTGTTATGGTGAAGAAAAACAAAATAAAAAGATGTAAAATTAGCAGAACCTTTTTATTAATCAACTTTTTTTGTGCCCAGCTACTGAGCTTTACCTATATTATATCAATAAATACTTGCAACAGCCTCTGAAGTAGGTGCTGTTATCCCTCATTTTGTAGATTAAGAAATTGAGCCTAAGAGAGCTCAAGTAACTTGCCCGAGGTCATACAACTAAGTTGCAGAGATGGGACTTACCCTAGAGGTTCTAGGACCTAATACCAAAGTTCTCTGCCACTGTACTTACTACATTCCCTCCTCTTTATCTTTGTTTCCTCGTCTTTTAGGTAGATGGGAAATTGCTGTGCTGGTTGTGCACACTTTCATATAAACGGGTCCTCCAGAAGACCAAAGAGCAGAGGAAACACCTGAGCAGCTCTTCCCGCGCCAGCCATCAGGAGAAGGAGCAGTACAGTCGACTGAGTGGTGGCAGCCATTATAACAGGTAGTCCAAAGATGCATGAGCGTAGAACTAGAAGTACTTACTCAGAGGTCAGATGTAATACACAGCTAGCCATGGAAGATATACCATTTGTTAAAAATTTTCCTATTCTTTTTTTTCTAGTTACTAACCTCTAGAGGAATCATGTTTGTCATGTTTCATAATTTGTGTACCTTTCAAGGGCCAGAGAGACTTCCATGAGCTATCAGGATTTCTCTCACTTGGTTTGTATTGTGTCTGAAAAGGTAGTGGAACTTGCTTCACTGTCACATGTAAAATTCTCATCCTTAGAAGAGTGGTTTTTCTCCCTAGAAGACTGGACATTTCACTTTCTCAGAGATACAGCTTTTTTATGCATATTTGGCCAGGGTGTGGTTAGAGGTTGTTAGGTTTGTTTTGGTGGTGTCCAGTCAAAAAGATGTCCTCTCATTGTTGTCTTACACTTTGTTCCAGAGTATCTTTAGTGTTAGTAGACTTCTGACTCTGGAATGAGTACTGTCTCTGCTAGGCTCTCTGTGTGGGGTCTTGGGCAAGTTCTTTCATTGGTCAAATGAGGATTAATATTATTATCTCCTGGAGTTGTGAAGATAAAATTATGTGATGTATATATAGTGATTCATTTTATAACTGGCTTATAGGAAGCATTCAATACATTTTAGTGATTCATCAATTAGTATTGCCATTATGATTTGGTTTGTTCATGTAGCATAGATTTTTATGGGCCAGAGACTCTGATAGGAATTCAGCGATAAAAGAATTATGCTGCTCTCCAAGAATATGCAGTGGAAAGTGAGTACCATGTCAAGATACAGGCATGAGAAGCAGTTGTAATTAACTGCTTATTGAAGTTTCATTAACTGTTCTCCTAGTTACTGATAAAGCAGGTAATATTTAATTAAGACCAAGAATCTTGGGGGGCTGTGGAAATGAGCTACTCGTACATCCAGGACCTATGAAATCAACACTTTGGTGAATTTTTATAATTAAAGAATCATTAGCTCTCATATAGGAGAACTACAATATTATATTAGTCCCATTTGATACACTTGCATTGTGATGTTTTATCAACCTTTGATTTCTAATGTACGTCTCTATTTTTGCCATTAAAAGCCAGAAGACACTTTCTACGTCTTCAATTCAAAATGAAATCCCAAAGAAAAAATCCAAGTTTGAGTCAATCACAACCAATGGAGACAGGTAAGCCCATTGGATTGTGTGTGAGTGCTTCTGTTTGAAATGTATACACAGTTCCTGAAACAGAGAAACACTTTAGAGTGTGTCTTGGAGTTAGTCTGATTGTCAGTGAACCTCTTAGAGTCATTACACTAGCCACTTTCTTTATATGTTATAAACAGGCAGTACTGATATTTGTTTATAAATCTAATCTTGTCATTAAAGACAAGAACATATAACTGCATTTAATAGCAGTTGAAGTTTTCAGTCTACAAATAACTCCCTTACTAATTTAGAAGTCAATTGCTGGCTGCTTGTCATTGTCATCTGTACCTGTAGCCTCCTTCAGGCAGGCCAGGAGTCAGTCTGGAGAGGCAGCACAGAGATAAGTTGGAGTTAAGGCAGAATTTCTCCACCTTGGAGGGATAACTCATGTTTTCTTAGCATTTATATAGCCCAATGCAGACACTGGATCAGGAGAGAATGAGATGCATTTAAATAATTTTTGTTTCATTTTGAGCCTGTCTTAAATGCATATTTTTATTCCTCGCTTTCCTCTCTTCTTCTCAGCGATGCTTCCTCTTACGAGCTGCTTTGTCCTAATATCCAGAGTGCCCCATCCGTGTTGGTGCAGTGGGCTGCTTCCCAACAGAGTCTTGGGGCCAACCATTTTCCTGTTCCTCCAGGCCCGGGCATCCTGAAGTGAGACTACCTGGCACACTCTTCCCTAAAATCCTTGGAATCATCTTCATTCTGAAAACTCCCATTCTCCCTCCCAGCCAATGGTGGATATGGGACCAGAGCAGCATATAGGTTTTCCAAAGGAATTTTGTTTATTTAGGGGAGTACAAAGCATCTATGAAGTTTACTCTTTCCTGTTACCATTTTCATTAACTTGATTTCAGACTCAGTAAGGTGTCTTTTTAACAACTAGTATCATTGATTTTAAACTTCTTGTATTGAACCTTCTGGAAATGCTTAATTTAGATATTCAGGTTACGTGGGGGAAGGACCATAATAGCCATCTTTCTGATCAGCATTACTGAGTACTAGTCTGGCCATTCTGGACAAAAAGATGTAACACAGGTTGTCCCATCACCTCTACCTGTGTGCATAATCCTGCAAAAACTACTTCAAGGGAGGGACCTTTCTAAATACCCTGCTTTATAAAGGCCTAAACTAAGAACTGCAGCCTTTAAACTCATCATTTTTGTTTGTGCTGTTTATGACCCAAACCAAAAACTTAAGCCTTCTATTTAGTGTGTTTTTTTGCATCCAGTCACGAGCAATGATTGTTCTCCCCAAGTAGGATACTGATCTTTAATTTAGGTACATGGTCTTTCATGTCTTCTGGAAAGATCTTTAAATACCATTTTTTTTCTTGAAGTGTACACAGTAACTTAAAAAAAAAAAAGACCCTAATTACTTGAAAATTTGGAAAAATTTTTGCTGCCACAAAAATTACTTTCAGACATACACATGTTCCATTTGAGTGGTCCTGCATTAGCAGTCTTAACAGTCTAGTCTACTTGTTCGCTTTTCTTTTAAATATTCACACAGCAAGGTAAATTACATTTTTCCTTTTCTCTTACCTTTTTGTGGTTTTTCCCCTTTTCGTTCACTTTGAAAACATTCTGACAAGCCATTTTTTTATGGTACTTTTTTACTCATTCTTTTTTTTCCCTGAATATTTATTTTGAGTTCAGTTCTACTAAATGTTACCAGTCTTGTTTCTGAACTATCTCTGTAGCTATTACCCAGTTTTTAATTAATCACAATCCACTTTCCTGCTCCCACTTTTAAAATATCCATGTACTTTTACAAGTATGCTCTTATTCTTTTGGTTTTTATTTCCTCATGTCTTCTGCAGGTTACTCTCTTTGCCATTGACCACTCTATACTACCACAGTCTCCTTTTTAAATACTGAGGCATATTTGACTCCATTTTCTTTATCCACTAGGCTCTCGTATTACTGGTCCTTTTCATTACTGTAGAGTTTTCAAAATAAGACCATTTCTCTACTAGTTTTAGACCTATAAAATGCCTTAGCATTTTTATTTTTTTAAAAAGATTTATTTATTTATGCATATAAGAGCTGGGGTACAGGCCAGAAATGCGGGGGGGTGAGAGGATTCACCACAGAGTGGGGAACAGAACAGGCAGACTGAGTGAAATACACTGCTGAGGGGAGCAGCGGGTGAGACAGGAGAGGTCTGCTGCGCCATGTGAGTTTCTCCCTGGCTGGCCGGGGATTGAATTTGTGCTGCAGAGGCTTCAGACTGCTTCATAGTGTGGTGCTTAACCCCTTGCGCCACCAGGGAGGCCCAGCATTTTTATTTTTTAGTATCATAAAATTCACAACTTCCCTTCTTGGTATTTTCTAGTTTGTTGAAATTGTAACAAACATTTCAATTTGAGGAAAACCTGGGTTCATTTCTAGCTTTTGTTCCCTGTGAACGCACCAACTACTTTTTGATCATACTTGTTTACTGTCCTCTTGGCAGTGAAAAGGCACTCTCGACAGTGGATGAAGTCTAGGCACACCTTGTGATTCATTGTTTCTAAAGGAATTTTTTTCCTTTCCCTGTATTTTATTCTTCCTCTGAAATATGCTGGGAAGATTAGACTTAATTCTGTGTGTCTTTTGAGGACAGACTCAGGACCCATGAATAGGAATGACAGGGTGGCAGGTTTTGGGTCAACCTGAACAAGACTGTTTTTATACTAAAAGCTTTTGGAAAAGACAAGAAAATTCCTAGAGAAGTAAATTTCCTGTCATTGGAGGCATTTGGAAAGCAACTGAATCTGATTTTTCTGCCTTGGTAACCTAGCTTGCTTTTTTATTTTGATTCCCAGCAATTTTTATTAATCGGGAATTAAAGAGGTCAGGCCCTACATGGGACAGACAAAACTGGTTTTGTCAACAGTTTCTTGATATCAGAAGAATCCTGTCTCCAAAAGCAGCTAGAACAGAGCATTCAGAGCTCTGGGATCAAGAAGTTATTTATTTTAGTCTCTTACTATATTTCACTCATTTCTCTAGTTATGGGTTTAAATAGATTCTGTTAGGTTGAGGGAAGATAGTCCCATGGTGTATTGAAACCAGTGGAGACTGTGATAGGTCCTTTCAGTATTTTCTTGTGCATGTCTTATTTGCTTTTCGTTCACTTTGAAACTTGTTTTTTTAATACAGTAATATTTTTTGCTTTTATTTTTTCATTATCCAGTAACTCCGCATATTCATCAGTTATGGAAACATCGATCCATTCTTCCTCTGACATCCTTCTTACATGTTTCATTTAGACTGAGAAAGGGAAAATTCTTACCAATGGACTGTCTTCCCATTCTAGCTCTAGAAATGTTTGACTTGGTAACTATGAAGAAGTATGTCCAGCGGTGCCCCATGCTATTTGGAGTTTATCCCTGTGTAGAGAAATGCTGGTTATTAGATGTGGCTTAAGATGCAGGGAAGAACCAACAGTAAGAGTTAGTTCTGTATTGATATTGGGAGTTGCAACTGCATATTCCAGTTTCTTCTTAGGAAAAGCAGGTTTGTATTTTATATTAAAGGTTGCCCTTGGAGAACTAAAGAGCTTCCTTGGGCAATCTCTAGAGAAAGGCATGATTTGACCCTCTTGGCAGTGATTCCCTGTGTTGGGCCTAAGATACTTAGGCCAAGCCACAGAAAGCTATGGATCCTCATCCTAGAAATCATCCATTGTATGTACACACAGTTGTATCCATTGTGTGTGCATACAGAATTGTACATACAATTTCAGAACTTTTACAGATTCCCTGAAACTGAGCCCAGGTAAAAGATAGGAGTTCACCTGGCACTTGGACAAAGTGAAGTGCTCAGATACTGGGAAGAATCTGTTGAAAACCCAGGTTGTGCTGTGACTGTAGCTTGCCATCTCTTTGTCCTTTCCTCATGAAATGTCACAGATGAATTCTTGATATTGAAAGTGACAGTCAACAGGCCAATTGTAGTGTAGGGAAAGTTTTCTCCTTCCTATTAATTTAATCTTCTTTTTGCCATTCTTAAAAAGGCTTCTTAGCAGCTGTACCTTATCTTTGGAGCAGAAAACAAAGAATCAAAAAGACATGGTCTATGGGGAGCTTTAAAGAAAAATTAGTGCGCTTATAATTGATCTAAAGTCTAAGGAAATTGTCTGATCACAAAAAGTTATGACTGTTTCAATCATAAATAACTGGGTATCTTCAATTAACCTGAAACAATATCCTTGCCTTTTGGATGGCATTTATTTTGGTCCTGAACATGAGAAAAGATGCTGCAGGAGTGCTGTGGGCTGTGGCTATGGCTGGTGTCATCATCTGATTAGCACCTTGCCTGTGCAGTTAAGCACATGCTGTTGAATCTGAGCATTCTGCTTGATGCTGGGGATGAAAATAATTGCTCCTACTTGGGAGCTTGCAGTCAAGTGGCTTATGATGTGTCCTCAGGTAGAAAAATGACTGTCCATCCAAGTTATGATTTTATCCCCCACCATTTTTTCCACTCAGCTTTTCCCCAGACCTGGCTCTGGACTCACCAGGCACTGACCACTTTGTCATCATTGCCCAGCTGAAGGAAGAAGTAGCTACTCTGAAGAAGATGCTTCATCAAAAGGATCAAATGATTTTAGAGAAAGAGAAGAAGGTATGGTTTAGTCAATGTCTCTCAGTTGAGAATGATGTCAGAGGGTAAGATAAGTGGTATTGGACAGGTACTTTCCATTCATTGATGCTTTGAGAGGGAGGTCAGATGACAAAGTTGGGATATCATGGGACAACGCTTGCTATCTGCCAGGGTGATTCATGTCATGGTATTACCTGGGTGGATCTATCTCAGTCTAATGGGTTTAGAAAGTTGATTTTTCTTGGTATTTGGAGGGAACTTCCACTTCTGAGGGGACAACTTGTGTTAACCAAGCTCAAAGATATGATGTATAACACTGCAGTATCCCCATATAGCAGACTACAACGCTTCTCAGCATGAGCTGCCTTGGAAGGTATAATCAGAAGGTGCTGAATGAGCATCGAGTTGAGACAAGAAGAGGTAGTCATGTAACTGGAATTTTCCTTTTTTTCTAAATGATTTAACATTGGTTACAACACTGTATATGATTCAGTGTTGTATGTATGTATGTATATGATCACACCCTTCAGATGTCTGTTACCATACCACACCCACCTCCAGGCATCTATAGTCCTCCACCATAGTCCATTGGGTCTCCTGTAATTCGAATTTTTAATGCTATTAGGCTAAGAGAACCTGATGCCTCCATCTCTAGTTTTGGAATGGCTATATCCATGGGACAGCAATGCTCAAAATATGTGGGTCAGGTCTCCCCCTTCCTTGGTCAATGTTCAGGTAGGCCTTCCTCCATGACTCTTACATCACTTGGTTCCATTACTGACAACTCCCTTCCTGAGTGACCCACTCTTTAAACATGTTGATACTTTCAGTGAGTTTTATTTTGGTCTAAAGAGTCATCCTTCCTCTTCATGGAAACTTGTATATCTTTCTTCTAATTCATGTCTATTATTTCTTTTTTTTTTTCTAGATACTTAGAAAGTATCTCATTTTTGCCTTAAAAAATTAGTAACAATAATATTAATAGCTCATTTTTATTTAATGCATACTGTGTGTCTGATTATTCTAAGTGCTTAATGTATATTAGCTCATTTATCCTTATAACAACCCTTTGAAGGAGGAATTATTACTAATCATCATTTCATAGATGAAGAGTGCTTCCAGTGTGTTTTCTCTCAGGGGGAAGTCATTCCTTATCAAGGGAAAGCCCAATCCTTTTCCCTAGCTCTGTTTTTTTCCTTACGACCATGTGTTTTCTTTTGCTGTGATTCATTCTGAAGGGCTAACAAAAACATAACATTGAAATCACATACATTCTTGCCATCACATTTCTACCTAATTTTACAGATAATGAAATGGACCCAAAGAGATTAAATGATGTGTCCAATTCACACAGCTAGTAAATGGCGGAACAAAGGAACGAACCCAAGTCTTTCCGAAACTACTGTTCTTTCTCTTGTGCTTTCTTCTACCAGTAAGAAGGCATTTCATGGGAAGAGACCAGTATTCTTTCTACTTCACTGTATAACTGCCAGATGAAATAGGCCCACATAGATTTTTTCATGAATTAGATCAGTATGGCATATAAAAGGATTTTTGTGAACTAGAGATAACGTGAACACTTGTGTCTACTGCTTTGCAAAGTTAGGGTTTTAAAAGGAGCAAAAGTAAATACTGTGGACTGTTCCCTATAACTTTCACAATCAAGAAGGTCACACTCCTTGGCTTAGCACACAGGCTCTTCTGCTTCATGCCTGTCTCTATCCCCTCTCCGGCCACTCATCACACTCCTCCATCATTTGAACTCTCAGTTGTCTTGTACTCTCTGCTACTTCTGTACTGTTTCCTTTGCTTGATGCTCTTCTCCTTACTTCATGTTCCAGTTGTTGTTTGTACCTCAGAATTCATCTCACACATCACTTCTCTGATTTCAATAATCTCTTTTCTGCACACCTTGAATAGCATAGTGAATAGAAGATGGCCTGAGGTTTGAATTCTAGCCCTGCTGCTTGCTGACATGTGATATTGGCCACATTACTTAACCTTTTCTAAGCCTTGGTTTTCCCATTTGTAAAATGGGAAGAATGTATAACCTACTACAGAGTTATCATAGAGTGAATGAAGTAAGGTTATCAGTTTGTAAGAAAGTAAAAATTTAGTAAATGACAGTAACTGTTACTCTCTGGGCTTCAGCCATCAGTCATATTGTCTTGTAACCACTGATTTGTATGGAGGTGGTATTTGGAGGATTATTGGCATTTATTAAGTAAATGAGATTTTAAAAGTTGTTTATAGTTAAGTATCAGAAATAATACTTCAGAATCTTGTGTAATTTTTAGGAAGTATTTAGGAAAAAACTAGGATACAGAATTCCTTGGCTCTGTTTTAGGTATGGATCATTAGGAGAGCTCTGGATACCTATAATTTGGGGGACTATTTAGCTCTCTGCTACTGAAACATTTTTTACTGCCCAAAAGTTTCTTCTGGTCACTCTGCCTTTTTTCCTTTCAGATCACAGAGTTGAAGGCTGATTTCCAGTACCAAGAATCTCAAATGAGAGCCAAAATGAATCAGATGGAGAAAACCCACAAAGAAGTAACAGAACAATTGCAGGTGACTCTGTTTATCTTTTGTGGTAGCTCTGGTATATTTAGCTGGTGGTATTTTAAGTGATCATCTCTTAGACTTCTTTTTTCTCAAAGTATTCACAAATCACATTATTTCACTGTATGGCTGTCTTTTATTGTTTCATTTTTGGATGTGTTCTCATCTTTTCCCCCAAAAAACAGTGAAATTAAAATATGTTCTTTGATTTTTTGAATGAACCAGATGTGAACCCAGATGTCTGAATTATAAATTCTGTTTATCCAGCCCGTTAAGGCACACCATAGTTTATTGTTGCATGAAGCATCCTTTTGTAACAGTGTATCCCAGGAGACTGAAGTACTCTGATTAACCTCCAGCAAATGCTTTCTTCCTCCTGAACCAAGCCCTAGAGCTTTCTGTTATTTTCTGCCTCTAAGAATTTGCTCATCTCTCCCCAATCCTCCATATTGCCTGCCGTAGTATCTGCATGAAAACATATCCTATCCCCGCTAAAACATCCTTTTTAACTGATATATACTTACGTATATATATATATGTATATTTTTCCCTCCCCCAGGCCAAAAACCGAGAGCTCCTAAAGCAGGCAGCTGCCTTGTCCAAGAGTAAGAAGTCTGAGAAGTCAGGAGCTATAACCTCTCCGTGAGAGACCACAAGGAGGCTCCCAGCTACAGCAGATGGATTCCTGAGTTAGGGTTGTCAACCTTGCTGTTTTCTGGGACTTGCAAACTTTCTTAAGAAATCTCTATTTTACTACATTTCTCCTTTGTGTGATTGCAGTGGGCTGAATGGAAACACCTGGTTTGTGCTGTGTTATGTACGACTGCATGCTCGAATGTGTGGGGCTTCAGTCTCTCTCCTTTCTCTTTCCTCCGCGCCCTCCCCCCCTTCACAGTACTACTTTCTCTTGTTACTTTTTTGTTGTTTTTTTTTTTTTCAATGTGGTGGTCACTGCTCAGTGCTATGTGCAGAAAGATTTTTGTGTGTCCATCATTGCATCCTGCCATACCCATGAGCAAATCATTTGGCATTAATTACATATCACTGCCACCCTCTGAACTTTGAAAACTGCCACCTTAAGACTTGGTACAATGGAGGAGACTTTGTCTCTCCAATAAACCTTTTGCTTCAGGGTATACTCTTGGGTTTTTTTCCAGGTATATTATGTATGAACTTTGTACTATGTATAGCCAGAGTTTTTATTTATTTAAAAAAAAAAAAAAGAAACTTTTTCTTGATAAAGGAATAACGGTAGCCTGGCTTGTTTTTCTTGTAAAAGTGATGCCTCTTTAAAAAAGTCCTACTGGAGTTTTTAGTAAAAGAATTAAGATTTTTCTTTCTTGTTACCTTGGAGTCTTAAAAACTGATTACTAAGGTGAAACAACTCAGTGCATAAGTATGGAGTTAAGTGCCTTTTGGAGGATTTCTGAGAAGAGCGTTTAAGATACTAAAGGGAGGTAGCAAAGATTTGAGCAGTCTGTCTTTTTAAGCAAGGACAGAAAGAAAGGTTGTCCAGGTTGTACTGGACAGTTCCCTCCCCCACCCCTTTCCTGATTGTTTTATGTGATTGATTTTAAATTCTCACACTGCCACTTCTTTTTTAAAAAAATACCCTTTATTTGCTTGTATCAATTGTCATACTGGGTCACTGTCAGAGAAGGTGTTTTTTGTTTAACATGAACAGATTCAAAATGGGATAATATTTGAACTACAGATAATTTCTGAGGTCAGTACCAGCTCTTAAATATGGACTAAGACCTGTTGGAAGAAATGATATCATTATATCTTCTCTGCACTCCTCACCCACCCCAGCCTGTACACTCCGTGCTTTTAATGGAAATATATTGAAAACAGGTACTTCTCAGAAGCAGGTTGGCCTCAGCCAGAATTGTTTGTGCCATGTTTTCCCTTCTTGATCTAATAAGCATGTGGAGAGGGGATAGATTTGAATTCTAGTCATATTCTCAGGTGTCTTCTGTGATGTTTGTGAAAGGAATTAGGAATGTGTAGTGTGCCATGAAGCAGTAAAACCAGCTACCTTGGAATCATTAATATAGGGTGGTATTAGAATTAGAGGCAACCATGAGGACAGACATTTGTACCTCAGTCTATCAAAATTGTAGCAGTGAGTTTAACTTGCTAGGCATTTCCTAGAAGCAGATGCTTATAATTTGTGTTAGCATTGTCACAAGTAAAGCCATGAGCATAATTGGACAGAGATGTGGAAATGGGTGGCTTCCTTCTGATAAGAATAACAATGGACCATGTTGCTTATATGTCTTTGTAGTAGGGGATATAATTTTCCCTTCTAAGCAAGGGAAATGGCAGTGCTAAATAGTTTTGTAATTTTTTTGAATGAGAAACTTTTAGGTAAAGAAAAACTCAGATAATATTTTTCAGACGTGTTTACGTTGACTATGGGGAAGAGATTGTGAAAAAATGACAGTCATGGTTGTTTTTTTTAAAGACTTGAGAAATTCTGTTACATGAAGTGACAATATAAAAACATATTTAGTTTTATACTATGTCTTTTTTTAAGGTCTTGGCATATAATATAAAGCAAATCCACACATTTTCTAACTTTCACAAATTCCAAAAAGGGAAGGAAGAAACCTCAGTCTTGAAATTTTGGTTTTTAAAAATCATGACACTGTTTTACCATGAAATTGAGTAGCTAACTTTTGGTAACACCTTTTGTTTATTTGTATGTTTGTAATAATGGACATTTTAAAACACAGGAATGTTTTGGTTTGTACAGACTTTGACAAATGTGTGTTAATAAAAATTCATATTGATTAAAGTATAATTGTTGGGTTTTGTTTTTTCACTTATTTCTTGCTGGCTTACCAATAGCCATATACCATTATCCTCCTAGCCCCCTTTTTTTTTTTAAATTTTTAAATTTAAAAATTAAATCACCTACACCTCTGGGTGTAGTCCACAGGTGTGGGGTTAGGGGGAGGGTTGAGATGATTCACCAGAGACAGAGGGGGGAGCAGAACAGGTAGATTGACTGAAATACACTGCTGAGGGGAGCAGACAAGAGAGGTCTGCTAGGCCATATGTGGGTTATCTCCGTGGCCTAGGATGGAACTCAGACCACAGTGGTGATAGCGCTGAGATCTAACCTCTAGGCCACCAGGGAGGCCTCCATTATCCCCTCAGACCTCAAAAAAGTTTGTCCTGCTTATAAACATAAAAAAAAATTAAAATAGTCTAACTGTGCTAATAGGGAGTTTCAGTTTCATCAGTGAATGAACTCATTCTCTAATGTGATTTTATTTTATTTTTTAAGTACTTGCTTTGTTCAGATGCAGTGCTAGGCCCTGAGGATACAACAGTGAACAAAATCAACAGTTCGTGTGGGGCTTCCATTTAGTGTACAATTGGACAACACTATTGTTCTTTGATTTCTGTATTTGCCATTACTCAAAATATAATACAGGGTTGGTTTTCATAATGAAAGCCTTTCAGATGCCATTTCAAGAAAAAGAGGATCTATGAGTTTCACATCTTGGTGCTAGTCAATTTTTAAATTAGTGACAGGTAACTTTAAGATATTTTCACTGTCATATCCTGGTCATTCTATTCTATAGACTCCATGACAACTTACTTTCTCTAAATTAAATACAGTTTTACTTTGCAGTACTATGGTATGAATGCTTGTGTCTCTCCCTCCTAAATATGTTGAAATCCTAGCACCCCAAAATTATAGCAGTAGGAGCTGTGGGTCCTTTAGGAGGTGCTTAGGACTTTAGGGTAGAGACCTCATGAATGGGATTAGTGCCCTTACATAGGAGACTCCAGTGAGTGCCCTTACCCCTTCTACCATTTGAGGACACAGCAAGACATCATCACCTATGAACCAGGAAAAAGGCTGGCACCTTAACCTTGGACTTCCCAGATGCCAGAACTGTTAGAAATAAACTTATTTATAAGCTACCAGCCAGGACAGACTAAAATGCAGGCTCTATTTATGACCACCTTTATTGTGTGAATTATCATAGTTTACCCATTTACTCAGTTTTAAAAACCACTGTAGGGAAACTATAGTATAAACAGACATCTAGTTTTTCAGGATGCTCTGACTTTTTTCATAGTAGCCTAAACATTAATCCAAATGTCCATCAATAAGAAAATGGATAATCAAATTGTAGTATATTCATTTCATAAAGTGCCACCTGTTACCAAGGAGCTAATCTCGCCTTAGAGGGTACAAACCATGAAAACTTTTTGTTTGTAAGTAAGTGTCAAAATTCATGATAACTATATTCTATTTTATGTCAATATACATCAATAAAAATACAGGAAAATGCTCTTCAGTCCTAAAAATATGTATGAACATTCCTGTACTTGGAATACATGTATCATATCTGAGTATCTAGATAGGATCCTCAGATAGGATGACATGTTATGTGTAGAAATCATGGCTCTGCAATTCAACAACTCTGACACTAGGCAAGTACCCAGAGCTTCTAGAGAACACCCATTTCCTTACCTGTTACCAAGGAACTAATCTCACCTTGAAGGGTGCAAACCATGAAAACTTTTTGTCAATTAACAAAAGGACATAATGCTGAAAAACCTCATTCTCTGAAATCAAGGATTTAAAAAAAAATGCTTTTAGAAAGATCAGTAAGAATTTAATATTCCACTCTTGCCTGGAAGATCTGAATAAATTTGACACAGAGAAACAGCCTCAATTTCCAAGCCAGGTGCAGAGCTTCAGATAAGGGGTTTCTAGAATACAACATTCCACATTTATCTTCATGTTGTAGTTTCCAAGGAAACAGGATCCTGAGTCCCCTTGTTAGCTCAGGCCTGATGATAATCCCTTTACACATAGCCTGGTGTGCTTTGAGGCTATCAGAACACTGCTTCTTTTAAATTTTACCTACATTCCTTCTTTCTCCCCAATCCTAGAATAACTCTATCTCATCCTGTGCTTGGTGAGATGCCCCTTGATTCCTCAGGTGTGGAGTCTGCCTTGTAGCAATGTTAATAAATTTGTCTGACCATAGGTGGTCTTTATCAGGTGGATGTTATCTTGGGGATTATGGATAACATTTGTAAAACAAAGTCACAGTGCCTGGACAGGCATTTAATGAATGGTAGTTATTTTTTTATTATCCCTGTATCAATTCAGTAAGTGTTCATTTGACTAGTATTTGATACACACACACACACACACACACACACACACACACAGAGCTATGAGAGATTCACAGATGTAAAACCACTTGTTATTTTACATGGAAAAAGAAAACAAGCATAGTATCTTCAATTCCTAGGGGAAAAAAACCTTTACTAAGCTTCACTTTAGAGTCAAATGTAAATATTCCGAATACTATTTTATGGGCTAAAAAATACAATTTACATGATTTACGGTAAGATTTGACATTAAACCAAAGATTCTAAGAAATGGTAGGGTTTTAATAACCTGAATGAAAGTCCCCAAATGTCACTGATGCTTTTTTATAAGGAAAAAAAAAAAGCCCATTTACATGCTGCAACAACATTCTTGCTCACAGAAATTCTATGGTAGAACGCGGGGTTCATTCACCCACTTGTAGTTCCCTCCCAAACAGGCAAGCAACTTCCTCTTTGCCATTCCCCAGAGATTGCAAAGTAGACTGGGTGGGGTAGAGTGAGAACACCGGAAACAAGCACTGCCAGTTCCCCTCTCTACTCCCCATTTTGATCTCCTCTTAAGTCCTACCTCTGTCTCTCCATTTACCATAAGCTCACAAAATGTCTTTTTATGGGAACTGAGATCATCCACCCAAGTTATAAAGGAAATCATTTTCAAGTCTAGTTATCTAAGAAATCCTGGTTTGGAATATAGTTGAAGAGGCTATTTGGGCGGGATTTAGATGGACAATGCATTTGGGAATATGAGAATTTGTTTTAGGGAAGTAATAAGACTGTGGAATTAGTTCAGTGTATGTAATTTTGCTGTCAAATCTCAAAAAAGCAAATTAACCTCTATGGCCTTACTTTTTTCATCTGTAAAAGGGAAAACAATAACGCATTCTTTGCCGAGTTACCTCAACATTTTACAAATCGATTGTTCTGAAGATAAAAATAGAGTCAGAAATTGTCCTTGGCCGTGAGCTTACGAACAAGTGAATTGCTGTGAGGATGAACACAAAGAATGTGCTGAATATTACTATCATTTTATTGTTTGGTTGAGAAGAAGGATGTAGGGAGAAATGTAAGTGATTTGTAAACCATAAAAGTGCTCTGCAAATACGACCAAAGCCCTAGAGGATGGAAGCAGAGAGAGGAATTTCAAGGGGGGCGGGTGGAAGGGATTGGAATTCCAGGGCTGCTGATAATTGAGCCTGAGTTTTCAGAATTGAACAGAATAGGAATGTCAGGGCTGAGATGGTCGGTACCGTTCTCTGCTAATCGAAATTTCTCACCGGTTACCGTGCTCTGGAGAGAAACCACTCCGGCACCCAGCACATCCCACCCCAGCCCCCAACACATGACGTCATCGCCCCGCCCGTATCCCCAAGCCCTGGGGCGTCCCGTATCCAAGCGACAGTCCCCGGCGCCAGCTCCAGCGGCGCCTGCGCACTGCGGGCGGGGCGGGGCGGGGCGGGGCGGGACGGGCGGCGCG